AAAAAAAGAGGAAGAGAGAGATAGACAAAAGAAGAGAGAGAAAGACATGCACGGCGATGCTTACTGTAGTGCATATTTGAGGTAAAGAATAGAAAGCGAAGAGGAGAGAGAAAGAAAGGAAAGGAGAGAGAAAGAAGGAAGAGGAGAGAGAAAGAAAGAAGAGGAGAGAGAAGAGCGAAAGAGAGAGAATTACCTTCGCTTAGGGGTATCGAACTTTTCTTCTCTTTCCTCTCTCTCTCTCCTAAGCGTAGCCCTCAATCTTAAAGCTTAATTCTGAATTTGATGAAGTATAGTGTGCTTTATATTGACTTGATGTATTTTCTTGGTTTTTTTGTTGAACTGCATTGAGCATGCCGTCACGATCGCATTGCAACAAACGCAACTCGATTTCGTACCCGAACGAAGATTTCGCAATTTTGGGGTTTTGGCCGGAACTTGGATTCCGTCGGCCTGAATTCTACAGCAACTTTAAAAATTTTGTGCGCCATATCTAGCCGTTCATCATGTGCGGGGTCCGGACCAGACATAGCCCTGGACCTTACGCACGCAATGCAACTGGTTTTGCCTCGATCGAGTACGCGAGCGCCATGATATGGCTGCTCGAGTGGGTCGTGCTACTGCTAATTTTCCTGCAACCTTGTTCACGAATCGTCATCTTCTCTCTAGCTTTTCTCCTTGCTCAGACATCGTCACGAGACGTGCCACATATCAGCACGCTCGTCTTGACGAGACGAACACGCTCGCAAAATTTGGAACACGATCTGACTCGAAACGATGGAGATATGAGTCTTCAAAATTGCTGATCGTGACTGTGAAAACCAGTCTCCTTTAATGGAGAAATGTGTAGGGAGGGCGCACGGGAATAGCGTGCGGCCTCTCCTTTTTCAGTCTTTTACCCATAACTTTGTCCTGGAACATCTGTTTAAGCTGAAACTTAAACCCTAGGGGTTTTCGACCGTGTCGGATCCAATGGCGATGGTCCCACAGCCATTTGACGCTTCGAAGATAAAGTTCCAGTTATAGGATCCGTTTCAAGGCGCTAGAGGCTGATTCTTCCAAAATTGTTTCTTTGTCTGCACTGCCTTAGACATGTCGGATTGCGACGACACTTGGCAGGTGCCCTTTTGAAGTGCTTAGGAACATTTTCACATGCTCTGGGGGGCAATTTTGAGACTATCAAAATTCCACTGTAAGTCAAGGCTTTATTGACCGGCATCTCTTTTATTCCGCATCGGGGACCTGAGGTGTTGAAAATGTCTTCAAACAAAGACAAGAAATGATAGAATGCCAAATGAATACATTCGAAAAAACTCACGAAAAAACTCAAGTGTGGCTCCAATAGGCGATAAGATGAGAAATAGTAGACTAAGATGGACTGGTCATGTGTGGTATAGGCCATGTGTGGCACAAACCCAATACAGCACCTATTAGGAGGTGCGAGTTAGTTCAAGTGTAAGGCTCAAAAAGGGCAAGGGGCAAGCCCAAAAAGGCATGGTCAGAAGTAATAAGGAGAAAAAATATGGGGCCGCCTCATTGAGGCTATGGCCCTTAATAGTGCAAAATGGCAGACCAAGATTCGTGTAGCCGATCCCAATTAGTTTGGAAAAGGCTTTGACAATGATGATGATGATGAGAGAAGTTTCATTTTTCAAAGTTCAAGTCCAATAGTAAAGTAATGAGTTGTCTTCTTTTTATTTTATATTAGTGAAAAGAAGGGTACGGGGCCTTCTCCCCCACTGACTTACCCAAAAAAAAAAAAAGTCCAATAGTACTTCATGATTTAAACAGATCTAACATAGGATGACTCCAAAAATAAGGAAAGTGATTGAAGATGATTTCCTAGACGAATATATTCGGAAAGGATAGAGTGCCAAATGAATACATTCGGAAAACTCAAGTGTGGCACCAATAAGTGATAAGATGAGAGAGAGTAGACTAAGGTGGACTGGCCATGTGTGGCATAGGCCAAGTGTGGCACAAACCCAATACAACACCTGTTAGGAGGTGCGAGTTAGTTCAAGTGTAAGGCTCAAAAAGGGTAATGGGCAAGCGCAAAAAGGCATGGTCAGAAGTAAGGAGAAAAAATATGGGGGCTTATGGCCTCACTGAGGCTATGGCCCTTAATAGAGCAAAATGGCAGACCAGGATTCGTGTAGCCAATCCCAATTAGTTTGGAAAAGGCTTTGACAATGATGATGATGATGAGAGAACTTTCATTTTTCAAAGTTCAAGTCCAATAGTAAAGCAATGAATTGTCTTCTTTTTATTTTATATTAGTGAAAAAAAGGGTAAGGGGCCTTTTCCCCCACTAACTTACCCAAAAAACAAAAAAAAGTCCAATAGTACTTCATGATTTAGACAGATCTAACATAGATCTAACATAGGATGACTCCAAAAATAAGGAAAGTGATTGAAGATGATTTCCTAGATGAATATATCCATTTTCATGAGATAAACTCAAGATTGGATAAAAAATTGTCAAGTTTCTATAAACTTCTTGTATCATAAAGCAAGTTTTTGGTTAAAAAGTACAACGAGTGCCGTCAAATGGATATTCTAATGGTGGATCAAGAATGATGATCATGATGAATTTGACATATAAAGTGATATGAAGATCAAGGACCCAGATTTTATGGCCTAGCTGCCCCTTTCACAATGTTGACTCTATATCATGTGATTTTGACGCCAAAAAGTGTGTAAAACCTTAAGAATCATGTACTTTCATATCTCTATGAGCAAGAAGATTCTAGGAGGAGCAGATTTGAAGAAGAATGATTGCTTTGATAAAAACTCTTCATTTACAAAGGGGTGCTTGAACATGATTTAAAGAAATGTGAACTTCAATATCGAGCCATATCTCATTGATTTGAAGGTAGGGCATTCATAGAGCTTCCTATATGCAGTGATTTAGATGACTTTCACAGCATATCCATAAGGAGAAAAGAATGACAAAGAAAGCTCCTAAGAAAAACCAACTAGAAGCCCTTTGATCAAAGGTATATGTAAATTCAATAATTTGCAGCATCGTATGTCAACAATTATTTTTTAATTTGCCTCTTGGTAACCCTCTGTATAAAACGCATGTGTTCCTCTAGAACCCAGGAAGACCATGGGTGTTTTGAATTGGAAGGAGACGTGGGATCTTTTTAACAGATGAAATCGAACAAACATCAGAGCATCAATGTTGCACAAATAACTCATTTTCTCATATTAATATGGGTTTTCATTCCTTTTATATCCTCCAATTATAATTATATGGCGTTTGTCGAGGGAGAATATATCATGGCTTCAATTGCTATTCAGCAAAATATTGAAAAACCAGTCAATTTAGATGGGCCCTTTTCTCCTTTATCAGCAAATAAGGCAAAGAGATACAGTCAAAAGTTAGGCAATCTTATTGCCAAAATTTCATTCTCAGTTCCATCAATAGATGAGATGGAAAACATGAAAATTTTACTAAACTTTTGGTGAAAATCACCTACATTTGACTTCATGTTCCATCCAAATAAGAAAGGAAAACAATTCATCGAAATTCATTGACATTAAGGCCTTGTTAAGTAACTGTGAAAGTTCTTTCCTGAAGAATCTCTGAGAAACTAAGAGCCTGAAAAGGTAAAGTAGAAAACTAGTAGCTAGAAGCGGAGAACCCTTGTTTGGTAACCTACCTTAAAAAATCGAGGAAATCTGCTACTAGTAATTTCACTTGTTTGCTAACCTGGAAATCTCAAAACCGCTGATTTATTCGTTAATTATGAAACTCAAAGTTTAGAGGCTAAAACTTGTATTTTGATTGAGAATTTTTAGTTATAAACTATCCATGTCATTATTTACATAATGGATGGTTAAGATCGTAAATTTGTTAGAAGTTTTCTCCCTCTCCCACTTTGATCAAACTATTTATTGTTAATTTGCAGTGATCTTTCTCATTCACAAAATAGCGATTCTAAAATAATGTCTTGTTTGTACCAATCTTCGAATGAATGAGCCAAGTTCATGTTACTAAAACTTATCATCATCAGATTTGTTGGTTTCCAACAATTCAAGCAAAGAGATGCGAATATGATGACTTCATTTCATTATTAATTCATTCAAATTGCAAAAGTACCAGCATGAGAAGCTTAAACAGACTAAAAACTAGAAATTGCATGCAAACTATATCAAACATGAGTTCAAACATCCAAGACATCAATTAGGATAGCACTTGAAAGATCAAGTGATCATTCATAATATTCACAAACTATTGGTAGATCAAAAACATTAATACATAACCTAATGAAGCACCAATACATGTAGTACGAACAAGATATGACCCAATAAAATATACAAACAAATGACGCAATAAGCACTGAAAGATCACTTGGCCGTATCCACAAACACGTGATCAAAGCTTCAATATCCAAAAAATTACATAGCAAGTCATACATTTCATTCACAAGAATCAATCAAAAAATTTATTTTGAATTTCAATGAGAATCAATTCACAAAGAGCTCACTATTCAAGAATATCTCAAAAGCGTCAGCTAACAATTAACATAGAACACAACCCATTTGTGTTTTTCAATATAAATCAACTCATTCTCCCAAAATGAACCTGAGAAAACCTATCATTCAGGGCTCACCTATCATTTTTCTGAAATAATCTTCATTTTCTAATACTATCAAAAATCAGACCATAATTTTTATATTATGAACCAAAAAAAACCATAGTTCATGAGATTAAATTGAAATTACGAAAGGAAAATGAAGATTAATAAAGATGAAGATCAATTATAAACAATTTAACAAATTGTAATGTCTTGAATAAATTCAAATCCATGGACCTCCTTAGCAGCCGGAAGGAGGATTATCTATTTTGTTGTTCAACCAAGTTCCATTAGGTTATGGTCATAAAATTATAAAAATAAAAAAACAAAAAATAAAACGATAGGACACAACAAAAGAGTATTGATTTTATTAAGTTTAAACATGAAGAAGAATGAAGATTAACAATGAGAGCATACCTGAGGTATCTTCGAGTGCGGGATTGGATGGGGAGAACTTGGGGTTGTCTTCGAGTGCGGGATTGGATGGGGAGAACTTGGGGTTGCAAAGGCGGGATTGGATGGGTAGAACTTGGGGTTGCAAAGGAAGAGAGAGACGAGGCCTAGGTAAAGAGAGAGAGAGGTGGCCTGGCTAGAGTAGAAAGAGACAGAGGGGAATGGGCTTGTGTTTGAGAGACAGGAGCTCGGCAGAGACGGGCTGGGTTTGAGTGAGAGAGGATTACAGAGGTTTGAGGGTGCGAGGGAGAGAATGAGATCTTTTTCTCTTAGTTACCCATCCAAAACTCACCGAAATCCATCGCCCTTCATGAGATGACCCATAGGACCTTTTATGTCGGATCATCACTACGTGTCAAATTTAATAATAATTTTTTAAAATTTTATATATATATATATATATATATATA